CATTAGGAGATGGAAAGATCTGGTTGTCAGGCATTTGACCGTAAAAACCTGGCTGACACATTCAAATTGCAAGGTAATAAAAATTTGTGTGCTGTTTTGTTTCGTTGACAAGTAGCATTTTAAATCGGGATTATTGTTTGGAGGGATGGAGAAAGTTTCGTTCTTTTCTTTCTGTCTAGTTTGTGTGTGGTTTTGTTCTTCTCTTTCTTTGTCTAATTTGTGTGTGCTTTATCTGTTGACGAAATAGATGCTGTAGAAGCAGACCCTAGCAGATTAGCCCACTCGAATTCCAATTCATCCAACACAATTTTTTACTTGGTGACTTGGTCACTATATATCCATGTTGAATAAAATGTGGAAAACATGAACTTGAAAGACTCGTCAAACCTGCCAAGCCAATATTGAAACAGGTCCTTCCTAAATTGACTCTAAATGAACCAAACCTAAAGTCACATAGGAATCCAATACCCGGTTTTTTTTAATAATAACTATTGCTGAAGAAGTGTAAATATGCTGACCATAAATGTTATTTTGGTAGCATAATTTTATAAATACCTTGCAGTGTTTATTTTCTTTAAAAGCTGCTCTTAATTTATATGGTCTTTGCTTTCAGGTAACAGGGCCATGCAATCAAAGCTATACTCTGATGCAATAGAGTTTTATTCTATTGCTGTTTCTCTTTGCGATGATAATGCAGTTTACTATTGTAATCGGTACAGCAATAATTTGCTCATGCTGATAATTTGATATTTATCTGTTCAATTTACCATTTTTATATTTTCGAGTTAGGTGTTAAATACATGTGTTTTTGTAGGGAATGGAAGGGAAAAGAAATATAATGAATTCAATGATGGATATTTTGGGAAATAATATTAGACCCATGTGGTTATTTTTCTTACCAAAGATGGAAAGTCATTATCCTGCTATGCCACATTGTTCTTGCAGTATTAGGTCATACTGTTGGTTTCATTGAACACTGTAAAAACGCCTTCGACTTCTAGGAATAGTAAACTTGTTTTTTCTGTTCATCATGTCTCAATAATATTAGGATTTAGAAATTTGGTTCCTGTTAATCTTTGGATTCTAGTATCTTTTAGATATGGTGCATATTTCTGTATTTGATTGCAGTAAATTTTGATATTTTCATGCATCTTCGTGTTACTGTAATGTCTAATTGAACCATGATGTATGTTTCTCAGGGCTGCTGCTTACACTCAAATTCACAAGTATAATGAAGCTATTAGAGACTGTCTTAAATCCATTGAAATTGATCCGAATTACAGCAAGGCATACAGTCGTCTTGGTTTAGCATATTATGCTCAAGGCAACTATGCTGATGCAATTGAGAAAGGATTTAACAAAGGTTGGTGAGAAATTATTTGAACTATACGTGATTACTATACGTGATTACTGTTATGGACATATCCAAATATATCATTTCTAAGCATATATCTCTTAGTGTGGATTGTCTTATTACATTCACATTTTAAGATAGCTTCCTCATTTTCTTGAAGTCTTTTTTTCTTTCCCCATATCAATAACAGATTTGATGGTTGCCAATTCTTTATGCTGTCAAACATGGTAGTTTCTAATCTTTATTATTTTTTCCCTCTTTTATCGGAATCGTGCAGCCCTGCAACTGGATCCAAGCAATGAATCTGTGAAAGAAAATATTAAGGTAGGTTTCAGCGTTCCTTTTCTTACATTGATATTGTGATCTTGACACACTGGTTTTGATATACAGGTAGCTGAGCAGAAAGTGAAGGATGAGCAGCAGAGGGCGGAAAGGGATCAGGTAATATGAACTATCAGTTGCTTGTAATAACTCGCAATAATAGCCATTATCAGTTTACCACCTGACAGTTTGACACTAAAAGACAGTGGATACGACTTTCTCAAGCCCCTTGATTGTGGGACCACTTGTTTACTCTGTTGCTCTCAATAAATTTTGCTTGAAGGAATGCTATTTTGAAATTATTTCTCGTGTTTCTGCATATGCATATCCCTTCCCTTTCTGAGGAGGTCAAATTGGGGTTTTCTTTGAAATGTCTCGTTTTCTTTCCATCTTTTAATACACATCTTGCAGGGTGCTAGTTCCAGTCGAAATAATCAAGGATCTAATGACCAATCAATGGATCAAGGAGTCATAGCGGATCATCTCCATTTACAATGCCTTTCGACCTAGTTCCCTTCCGACAGACATTGCGAGCATGCTCATGAATATGGCTGCAAGTGCATATCAGGGACAACCATCTCAAAACAGCGAGGGTGAAGACGCCAACATGAATGGATCGGAAGAACCCGGAATAAGAATAAGTGGGAACATCAACATGAATTTGGGTGAGCAAATAGAAATACCAGAAGAGTTAAGTGGTGCATTCAGATCAGTGATGGATATGTTCTCAGGGACACATCCGCACGGAAACAACCAGGACAGAAATGGAGGATCAGGTTCAAACTAAACTACGGCACAAACATGTACACCATTGTCTTCAACTTCAAATGGCCCGCGCTTTCGATTTTAACCAGTTTTGGCGATTTACGAAGGGTACTCTTGGTAGTTGAGACAAAATGTAATAAACCCTTTTTGTTATTGTAGAAAGTAGAGATACCAAATCACTTGAGTTTGTAATTCGTTGCAAAAGGATTGAACTATTCAGGTTATTGCTGGGTCACCGAGAGTGTTTGTTTTCGATTGTGGGTTGTAGTCCGTCGCTGGTCATGTCATGGGCTACTACCTAACCATTAATCATCCAACTATTATAACTTTCTTATTTTGTTTTTGTTTTTTTATATAAAAATATCACCACCGTTATATTTTTTTGTTATTGACCGTTAACTTTGTTAAAATCTAACGCAATTGATGATATATATATATATTATTAATTTCATCGTAATTTAAAATAATTTAATAAATTAATTCTATTAAATGATTTCAGTGGTAAATGAAAATGTTATTTTTAGAGGATTGGGTTTGAATAATTGTATTTGTAAGATAAGTGTTCCTCATCAATTAGTTAAAAAGAAGTATAAATTATGTGTTAATATATAATTATTAGTTTTGGTATGTTTAATATCTAAATTTTTATTTTTTTTAAAATCATATATAATATTTAGTTTTTATTTCATTTTAGTATCTGGTCGTTAAAAATTTAACGGCACTACAATTTTTTATGGGTAAATCACATAATTCATCACTCAACTATCTTCTAATTCCTATTTTGGTACTAAAATTTAAAAATTATCAATTTAACTGCTCAGCTTTCAAATTGCTCCTATTTTAATCACTCTAATTTATTTTTAATAATTTTTGTGACATGAAATTTTATTATTATTTTATTAATATACAATTTTAAAAAATAAATTTGAAAGTAATTTGAAAAGTTAAGTAATTAAATTAAAAAATAAATTTTAAGTGGCCAAAATAGGAGTGAGAAGATAGTTGAGTGATGAATGATGCAATTTACCCATAAAAAGGTGTCACGTGCAAATCTCTATTAAGTTTTTAATGGTGAGGTACTAAAACGAATCAAAAACTAAATGTTAAATATGATTTTGAAAAAAAATTCAGAATTTAATACTAAAAGACCAAAACTGATAATTTAGGTACTAAACGCATAATTTCCTAAAAAGGGGTTAAGATTCAGTACACTATGTAAAACTAATAAGTTTTATACTAATTTATAGTCATTAGATTTAAAAAAATGATTTAGATTTAATTAAAATTTCTAATTCGTAGATAAATATTTATTCAACTCAAGATAAAATAATATTTTTTAAGGTCTATATTTAGGATTTAGAGTTTGTGGTTTGAGTTTGGAGTTTATGGTTTATAATTTATAGTTTGTTTTAAGGGTGTAGATTTTGAGGGTTTTTTAGATTTGAGGTTTGGGGTAAAAAATATTATTTTACCATGAGTTAAAGATATTTAATTATGAGTTATAATTTTAATCAAATCTAAACTATTTATTTATTTAAATCTACTCTAAACTAATATAAAACTTATTAGTTTTACATATTGTAAATGGACCATAGAAAAATTATTTTGTAATCATATACAACTACTTTTTTTTAATAAATTTAATTTTTAATATTTAATTTTTTTTATCAATTTAGTTCATTTCGTATTGTTTCTGTTCACTCTTGATTTCGGCAAAATCTTTGCCCGCCGTCATTAGTGACCGTTATCTTTAGCCATTAAATTCCAAAATTTTCAGATGAAATAAAAACAGTAATAGCCATTAAATTCCAAATTTCTGGATGAAAACAGTAATAGTTTATGCATCTCAAGATTGCCTTAGTTTTGTGCTGAAAAAAAAAACTAGGAATCAAAGTCTTGTGCAATTTTGAACTTCAAAGAACACTGCTGGAGAGAGAACGAAACAAAATGGTTAAAAAATGGCAGTAAATTCATTTTTGTGGGGGGGAAAAAACTCAGTAATTTGCATCAGCTTTATGAAAGCCTGACAGCTTGGGGTTTGAAATTCCAACAATGGAAAAGTTTGAAACAAAAGAGAGAAGAATCAAAGCATCGAATTTGCATGTACTTCCATGGATAAAAGAAAGGCATTCTACTCGATTTTACATTGATACCCTTTGTTTATCTGATGTCGCTTTTATTGTGCAGGCTGCCAAAAAGTCACGGTTGGAGATTCCTGCAAAAATCAAATTGGTTTCTACTGTGGTCTTGTCAAGATCAAGAGAGGCCATTAGAAGAACTCTGCCCAAGCTGTACACGTGAGTTGATTCTTGACTGCTCATTAACCATTCTTCAAGAAAGTAAAGCCTAATGTAACTGGGTTTAAAAAATATTATAAATATAAATTATATTATTATTATTATTATTATTACAAATTACATTATTTATGTAGGCCTAAAGTTCAAGTCCACTACAACAAAAGAATTCTCGGAACCCAATGCAAGCCCAATAAAAATCCAACAGCCTAAAAATAAAGTTTAAGCACAAGAGGTGTTCCCATCCATATGTATAGCAGCAACCAATCAAGCCAATATCTAAAGCCATCGCCATTATTGGAGTTAATCTGCACAAAGTCAACAATGCACCGAATCAAAAAAAAATTAATTAGCCACCGAAAATTGCATCAAAGTCAATACTTGCTCAACCAAATATCACCAAACGCAGAGAAAATCAACATGCAGACAAAGTATTCGGTGAAGAAAATATTGATAAAAAAAGGAGGAACACGAGATAAAGGGGGAGGCCATTCGAAGGCTCTGGGAAAAGAAGAAGAAGAAGCAACCGAAAGCCATCACCAATACACGAGATTCGGATTTGGGTCAATTAGAGGTGGTTACACAGAGGGGGGAATTCATTGTAAAACAGGGGGTTGTTATCCTATGAGAAAAACACAGTGTAATCACATAATTGCAAATCAGAAAAAAACAAGATAATTATATATCTTTGTTTCGAGGTATTCTTCGTTAATTTCTTACGTTTTCTAATTTTTTTTGTGAGTACTATTATTATTTAAAATTAAAATTTGTGAAGAATTATAGAGTTACCTTAGTTGTGAATGACGGTAGATTTAGTGGTTACATCCTAGTCGGTCGGGGTTTAATTAATGGAGATAGGAACGGGTTAGTGTTATGGAACCATAAAGATTAAAACGAAAAAAATAAAAGGAGAAGGTTTTGAGTCCTTACCGGAGTTGTTAGGTACGGTGGCCGGCGTAAAGAGAGTTGGGCAACTCTCCGTTTGAAAACGAAAGGAAAATGAAAGTGATGCCATGTGTGTGCGTGAGAAAGAAAAGAAAGTGAATGGAGAAGGAGATAACTGCTCACGATTTGGTGGTCACTAACTCCTTATTTAATAAGAGAGATGCGAACTTGATTACGTTTCATAGCGGGGGACATTGTACCCAAATCGACTACATCTTGGTTCGCAATCGGGATCGATGGGCTGCATTGACTGTAAGGTGTTCCCTGAAGAGGCATGTGCATCGCAACACAAATTGTTGGTTTTAGTGTTCCGCGTACCGCAACGGGCGAAACACTCATAGGAGGGCTAAACTAGGTAAACAGGATCCTTTGGAAGAAGTTACATGGAGCGACAGCTGATGACTTTAGGAGTAAGGTTTTGTCTAATACAGGTTTTGGAATTACAAACTAAAATAATGCAGATTTGTTATGGAAAAATATGGCAAATTCCATCAGAGAGGTGGGCAAAAACACCCTGGTTGTCGACAGGGAAGGGCAAGGAACATAAAGAATCGTGGTGGTGGAACGACGAAGTCCAAACTAAGGTGAAGACAAAGCAAACTTACTTCAAGGAGTTTTTACAATGCAATGACGACGAAGAAAGGTCGAGAGCTAAACAAAGATACAAGGAGGCAAAGCGGGAAGCCAAGAAAACGGTGGCTAAAGCAAAGGATAAGGCATACGAGGAAATGTACAAGAGATTAGACACCAAGGAAGGACAAAACGGCATCTTTAGGCTTGCAAAATCTAGGGAGAATAAGAAAAGGATCTAGGTAGCATTAGATTATTAAGGACAACAATGGTGTTCTTATAGCGAAAGATCATGATATTAAGAGGGTTGAGGTAGTTACTTCTTTGGCTTATTTAATGACGGTGCCTCTCCCTGTAGAGATAGTACCGTTGATGGGTCATCTGACCATCATACTTCGGCCAATGACTACCCTACAAGTAGGATTGGGTTTGAGGAAGTCAAAATGACTCTTAGAAAGATGGGAAGGGACAAAGCTGTCGGTCCTGATCAAATTCCTATCACTGTGTGTTGGCCCTAGGAGAAGAGGGAGTTAAGTGGTTGACCAATATCTTAATATTATTTTAGAGACTGCCAAGATGCCAGAGGAGTGGAGAGAGTCCACGGTGATACCAATCTATAAGAATAAAGGAGATCCCCAACGTTGTGGTAACTACAGAGGTATTAAACTACTCAGCATACCATGAAGCTATGGGGAAAGGGTGATAGAGGCTAGGTTGAGACAAATTACTAGGGTTTCGGAAAAACCAATTTGGCTTTAGCCAGGCAGGTCTACACGGAGGCGATTCATCTACTTCGACGACTTATGGAGAAATATAGGGAAAAGTCTAGAGATATTCACATGGCGTTCATTGACCTTGAGAAGGCTTATGATAGCGTTCCCCGCGATACGATCTGGAAGACTTTGGAAACGAGACGGATCCCAACTATTTATATCCGGGCGATTCGTGATATGTATTGTAGATCTACTACATACGTCAGGACTACAGTTGGCGATACCGAGGCATTCCCGGTTGGAAATCGGACCCACTCCAGGGGTCGGCTCTTAGCCTTACATCTTCGCCTTGATTATGGACATCTATTGTGCGACACCAGACGGTGTACCATGGTGTATGCTTTCGCTGACGACATTGTCCTAGTTGCTGAAACAAAATCTGAGTGAATAGTAGACTGGCTACCTGGAAGACTGCTTTGGAAGAAAAAGGTTTAAGGATCAATATTGATAAGACAGTATTTATGTTCAAACTTCAGTAGGGGACCAAAACGAAGAAGATGTAGAAGTATGCATAAAGGCACGTTCTCCCCTCAAAGAATTGTTTCAAGTACCCAGGGTCTATGATACAAAATGGGGGTGTAGATGATGACGTTACACACGTATAAAAGGATGGCTAAAGTGGAGGGCCGCTACTGGAGTTTGTGACAAGAAGGTGCCTAAAAAAGGGAAAATTTTATAGAATGGCAATAAGACCAGCGCTGTTGTATAGATCGAATGTTGGGCAACCAAGAAGGATCATGTAAGGAGGATAGAGGCCGCAGAATGAGAATGCTTCGATGGACATGCGGTAGGACTCTGTGGGATATGACAACAACTCTGCTATTAGGATGTCCTTGGGGTGGTGGTGCCTGTTTCCGAAAAATTGAGGGAAGGAAGACTACGGTGGTTTGGGCATGTCCTTAGACGACTACCATCAGATGCGGTCAGGAGGGTAGAGTCGATTACAGTCGACGGTGCCAGAAGGAGAGAACGACCAAGGCGGAAGTGGGAAGACTGCTTGAGATTGATTTGATGGATTTAGCCCTTACCGAGGACATGACCTCTGATAGGAAAGTATGGAGACTTAAGACTAGGATAGTCGAGTAGTGTGGGTCACATCTCTAGGGTGTATCATCTCTGTCTCTTTAATGCCTTTGTAGTAATTTCCATGACTCCTACTTTTTATTCGTTTCTGTTATGGTATTTATGAAGGCTTAGAACTGGGCTTGCTATCGTTTGACTTCTGTGTATCATTCTCTCCACTTTTAATTTTAGTCGGGTCTTACGTTTCTGTCTTATACAAAGATTTTTTCGCAGGGATTTTTTTTCCAAGGATTACTGCCCATTACAGACGCGTATATGATATTAATGATATTAATAACTGCATATGATTACTGTTCAACTATGTATTTTGTATTTATTTATACATGCATTGCATTTTATCTATATTTTTAATTTTCTGACTGCCGGAGGTCTTCCATGGAAGTACTCTCAACCTGGCGTTGGGGGCAGCCTACTACCACCTCCCCCCTTACCCCATTGCATAGGGGAATTGGGTTTTGTTGTTGTTGTTGTTGTAAAAAGCAAATGAAATTAGGTTTAGTTTTTTACTTTATATATTATATTATTAAAAAGCAAAACATATGTGTTTCAATGGATTAATTTGTACGTGTTTTGTAAATAGGAAAATAGTGTGCGAAATCCTTTAGTTTTAGACATTTTTTTTAGTCTTTCAATCGAATCTTTCATGTTTTTATTTTGGTATTCATATTAAGTGTTTTCTTTCTAGTCTTAAGTTTATGGTTTTGTTCATTTTATGATTGCTCTTATATTTGTTCTGTAACTTTGTTACTTTATGATTTAATTACATAATATGTTTTAATTAAGGTACTATTCAATTTACATTTTGGTAGCCTAGCTTCATTATTGTTATTTCATCCTTTTTGGCAGTATTAAATTTAAGATTAGGCTTTTTACAGTAGATTTTATTTATTTTAAGTAGTGAAATTTATATTATTGTTTGTATGTGGTATGTACATTTTTATGCATGTATTATAATTATATTGTAACAACCCGATTTTCAAAATAATATTTAATTGAAATTAGAGGGTTTAATTGTGAAAATTGGCGAAAATTTGGGACTGAATTGAAAGATTTTAAAACTTGGAGCTTGTTTTAAAGTTAAAGAAAATTCAGGGACCAAGCCCTGAATTTAACCTTGGAGTGTGGCAGGCAATTAATATATGCGTGATTTCTGTTTTGAAAAACAGAAATCAATTTCACAAAATCCTTCCTCACGCACACAACTTCCAAACTCGATTCCGACGCCGTCCGAATTGATCGTTGTTTTGAAACCACGTTGTGTTCATCATCGAGCGAGGAACAAAACCCTTCAAATTAATTGAAGCGAAACGTGGCCAAACGTCGGGAATTTCCAGTTAAAGTAGCGACGGTTGTTAGCTCTACGCCGAGAAAATCTTAAATTCACCGCTGATTGTTGCTCCGTTTACGACACCTCCACACCATCGTGTTCCTTGTGCCGTTTCCGAGTCCACCGGTGTTCCCCTTTTCTCCGGCGGCGGCGGGCGCGTGGGGAGGTGAACCGTCAAACTTCTCGATTTGATGAATTCGAGCTCTCCGACGTTCAAAAATTTGAACCGAGCTTTGTAAGTATCTCGAAAACGCTCAAAATAATTTTTAGAAATTTTTCGTAATTTAAGAGGCCCGGAGGACAACTCACGCGCCGCCGTAGGAGTGAGTGACCGGTTCAACCGGTTTTCTTAAGGGTTTGACCAGTATTCGTATGGCACCCTATGAAGCACTCTATGGGCGAAAAATGTCGCACTCCGATCTGTGGGACTGAGTTGCGTGATAGGAAAATGTTGGGACCTGAGTTAGTGCGAGACGAAGGACACAGTCAGATTAATCCGTGACCGTCTGAAGGAGGCATTTAATAGGTAGAAATCTTATGCAGATCAAAGGAGGAAGGATATACAGTTTGAGGTTGGAGATCAGGTCTTTTTGAAAGTTTCACCTGGAAGAAAGTATTGAGATTCGGGCGTAAGGGTAACGAGTCCAAGATTTATTGGACCATTCGTATCTTGAAGAGGGTAGGACCTGTTGCATATCAGCTTGAGTTGCCTTTTGAGCTCAGTCGTATTCATGATGTCTTCATGTATAATGTTGAGGCGATATCATCCAGATCCAGATCACTCATTCAGGATGTAGACCTGGGACCTGATTTCATATGAGGAAGAGCCCATCATATCTTAGAGAGATGAACGAGTTCTTCGGAATAGGCGTATTCTAATGGTCAAGGTTCAGTGGAGTAATCGAGGTCCCTCAGAAGCTACTTGGGAGACATTGGAGTCATGGAGGCTCAATTTCCTCTATTTTCATAAGGTAAATTTCGAGGACGAAATTTCTTGTAGAGGGGGAGAATTGTAACAACCCGATTTTCAAAATAATATTTAATTGAAATTGGAGGGTTAATTGTAAAAATTTGGCAAAAATTTGGGACTGAATTGAAAGATTTTAAAAACTTGAAGCTTGTTTTAAATTAAAGAAAATTCAGGGACCAAGCCCTGAATTTAACCTTGGAGTGTCGGCAGCAATTGATATATGCGTGATTTATTTTGAAAAACAGAAATCAATTTCACAAATCCTTCCTCACGCACACAACTTCCAAACTCGATTCCGACGCCGTCCGAATTCCGATCGTGTTTTGAAACCACGAT